ATTTGTTAGTGAAGCTGAGCATGCGACACTTGTGAGAGAATCAGAGATTGAGGACTTTGGCAAAGGAGCAGTGAACCTCAAGATTCCTGTGCCAAAGAAAGTGAAGGATGGTCGTCAGAGGGGTCGCACCTTGATGCAGTTGCCGGCTCTGAAGAGTTGCAATTTGAGCTACGCGGAAGTCTTTAACCTTGTGGTTGAAGAGGATGCCGACATTACCAAGTACTGTCGATGGGTCATGCAGACTTATGGAAAGTCCTAAGACTTGAGCTGAGGACTTTGCAATGTACTTAAAGTACCGCAAGGCCGATGAGATCATGGGCGCTGGCAAGTTGCAGCGAAAGTACAAGTCGTGAATGCGACATGTGAGCATGGTGGATTGGCCTCAAAGACACACGATTTGTTGCAGTCTGCCGCTGGATTTGATTTCAAGCACTACGAAGTGGCAGTCTGTAGCGCACGGTTTGTCATACCGCAACGAATGGCAGTCTTCGACTCCGACTGGTTTTCGAAAGAATTCGATTTTTGTGGCATAGCAGCTTTGAGTTGCAGTCTGTAGCTGGTTCTTCATGGCGCAACGAGGTTGCGGTCTGGAACACAGGTTTTTTCAACTAATTCATGAAGGTGAACTTCCATGTTTGAACCTTTGAAGAGAAGTTCATTGGAAAGCTGCAGGATCACGCCGAAAGGGGGTGTGAAAGTGTGGGTAGAGAACGTCGTGACCTTGGATTTGGCTTTGGCTGGCGCCTGCCTTTCTAACCTTCTGGTGCTAGCGATCGCTAGCATGTGTGGAGAGATTTGGATGCACTGAATATGACCAGTGGACGCTGGCTATGAGTGGAGAACGAAGCTTGGGAAGCTTCGAGTGTGACCAGGGTCTGTGTATAGATATGTATAGTATCCGATAGATCCGTGTGTGCAGGTTTTTGGATATAGAAATGATGTATATGTGTGTTGCTAGAACTCTCTTGGATAGGAAGGAACATCCTGGATGTTACCTCCCCCCTAGTGATGCAATCAAAGGTGCACACACAAAGTTTTGACTCTGATGTGTGATGATGTGCACCTGTCTGAAGGGGGGGCAGCATCCAGTATGTTGCTTCCAGCCTCTAGTAGTTTGTAGAAGATGGAAAGAGAGGAAAGGTGGGTGATACCACCTCTACCACCTGAAAGTGTTTAAACACTCACTACGTTCGAAGGAACGTGGCTCAAGTGTGGCTAGCTAGAAACAGTACAGTGCAAAGCAAGCTAAAGACACTAGCAACACGTACTTTTGTGTTCGTGTGAGTTGGCGCGAAAAGGTTGCTTGTCCGGTGCGGATCCGGCAAGGGTAAGGCTCGCCACTTTTCACAAAGAAGGTGAAATCCACCGGCCCTGAAGGTGCTTGGGCGTGTGTGTCCACAACACCACATGTTGCAGTTCCTTCCAGCAGAAATTTCTTTCAAATTGGCTGGTGGCAATGGGCAATCAGTGCAGTGGCAATGGTTGATGATGGTTGGTTGATGACAATTGGTTGGCAATTGGTTCGGACAATTGGTTGGAAGCAGCGGTTTTGGTTCATGGTTGTGTTTCTCTTTTCATCGTTCACACTGTCCTCAGCGGCCGGAACAAAAGGAATTGTTGCAATCTTTCATTTTGTTCGGTAGTCGTGACGGCCAATTCGTGAATGGCCGCCGTGTCTGACTGGGCCTCTGTGATCTGGGCCCCTGCATTGGGTCCAACTCCAAAGCATGGGTTCGTTGCCAGCGTAAAAAACACGGTTGAAGCAGTTTTAGTGTGCTTTGATGTCAAGTGATGTGCGTTGTTTTGATGCTAAATTTCAAGGAAAGATGCAGAGTTCGCATGAAGATTGTTCGACAGGTCGGATAAATGTGGATTTGTTTGAAAGGATTGTTGGTTGTCAAAAATGAGCGGCTAGAATCCAAACAGTCAAAAACACAAATGTTGGAAATACTTTGTTCTTTTTTGCTTTCAGTCAACATTTAGTAGATGTCCATTGTGTGTGCGCAGCAATGACAGTTCAATGGAGGAGAGCCTTTACCATGTTCTGTGACAAACAGTGAACTTTGATGTTGCCATGCCTGACATAGTGAATTTTATCAACATCACCCATCATGAGGAATACACTTCAGCACCAAGAGAATCTTTTGACACGTACTCAGAGCAGACTGAACCTTTTCTGGGCCGAAGATGCTCAAGGATTCAAGGACTGCACCATCAAAACAAACAAGAAGGATTGGTCATGTTTCTGTCCGAATTCCTGTTGTTTGGTGATCGTTTCCGCTCCATGTCATTTTGACAAAGATATTTGCAAAATTTGCTATATGTCATATGCACATCATATGTGCGTGATGCATTTGACATGTGTACACTACCTACTTGACGAACATCAGGTACGTGACACGCACGCAGAGACCATGTGCGAGAAAGGGTATATGCCGGCATATGACAAGTGATTGAGACATGTGAATGAGGAAGAAACGTCAATCTTTGCCCGTCTGCACAGGCATTGCTAACGTGGTTGTGTGATTGAATTGTTTGGCCTCATGTTTAGTCATTTTTTTTCAATGCTTTCTTCTTCCAGACCATTGTCATCTCAGGCTTCACCATCACTTAAGGGGTTTCTTCTTCCGGCATTCGTTGGTGAGATGCGTCATGATGGACGATTCACGATTTTCCACGGTCACATCACTTTGTGCCCCGTTGTTCACGGTTTCAAACACCACTTTTTTTGGTCCTTGGCTTGCCTTTAGCCTTTTGCTCTTGGCAAACTTTCTGTGATCCAACGCCCGTGAAGAGACCAAACCTCGCAAGTGTTTCGATGCCATGATGCCAGACGATCATTGCCATTTCGTTTTGCAAGGAATCCAGAAGGAACATTCCACATGTGGTCAGAGTGTTTGTGCACTCAGAAAGGTGCCTAGACCCTTCTTACTACATCTACTACACCTACACCGGAGCTTTCTAGACTGGACGGATCTCTCACCGATGGACACCTGTGCTTGGCCGATAGTCACAGTGTAGAGCCGAGCATGTTGATGGAATTGATGTCTCAAAACCAGGACGCTACTGTTGGTCAAACGGCGCCTCCCAAGTGAGTTGTCGGGAGTCGGGAGTTGCGTCGTTCGTTCGGTTCGTTCGTTCGTTCGTTCGTGATCGCTGTGCTATGCTGCAGGACGTTCACTAGCAGCAACACCTTTTGCTGAGGAGTTTGGCTCTCTTGATGAACACTTTTGTATAATCCTGGATTGAATGGATTGAATGGATAGCAGCTTTCATGCTGGCTCTTTTGCCTAGCAAGTCGCAGAAGTTGAACGGCTCGCTCAGGCTGGGTGCAGCCTTCTACATGTCCGAAGGACTTGCGGAATTGCTGGGTTTCTCACAAGCACTGAATTTGCACTGCGAGGACAATGGGGCACTTTGCTCATGCAAGTTTTCAGCTGCTTGGATAAACAAAGTAGGTTCAACACTATATGACTATAACATTATATCATAGTTCGCCAGCGCTACAAAAGACAGCTGTGAACTTTCAGGAAGAGACCAGGGTCCAGGGCTGAGAATGCTGGTTGCTTGTTTCCACTGTCGCCATCCGGGACCTCGCTGGCCTCGCGAGGCTTGCGACCAACCTCGTTCGATCGAGGCTTGCGCATTGGCGAGGACCGAAAGCGGATCCTGCGGATCCCGTGCCTTGGATTTTCGCGGATCGGCGGTTCATTGGTCGATTTGGGCTCTTACGAGGCTCGTGTTTTGGGCAACGTACTCGCAAAGAGGAAGCAGCGATCTTGAGCTGCTTTGAATGAGGCAGCTGGTTGGAATGGGCAGGCTGCTTGGAATGAGGCATGGAAGGTTGAAGCGAGTTCCATCAATTTTTATGCATTCCGCGCTGGTGGAGCATTCAGCGATGGTGGAGTCTTTCGTCGAAATTGCACACCCAGCTTCGGATGCACGAACTTCTAGGAGATTCTTCTGTCTTAGTGCCCCATGTTGGAAAGCTAGTGCTGCACTGGGACGTTTTTGGTTACGCTCATGCTCATGCTTCATGCCAGATCTCATTGGAGAGCGAGGAATTCTTCGTGAATTGCTATGACTTTTTTTCTCCCCAAGTAGAAAGGTTTTGAACAAAATCATTTTGGTGATTGAGATGGCTTTGCCGTGTTGGTCATTGAAAGGTTGTCCAGTAATACACGTGTCACAGGGGATTACATCTCTATCTATTGGGCAGTCTCACTCCGTGCACCCACCGCTGGGCGCTCCGTCCTTGACCTTTATACCTTGGCAGGTGAGAAGAACAGATGAGAGGGGGGATCCAACGTGCCCATCTGAGAACTTCCGGCTTGGGAACTAGCTACGGCTTCTATTTTTAAGTGTTTTTTTGCTTTATTTTTTGTTTTTTTTTAACACTTGCATGATCCTGCGCACAAGTGGAATGGCATGGTAATTAGGTTTGGCCTCATGCTCATTGCTGTGATCTCCGCGATTTTGTGCTGTTGCCTCAGAATTCTGGGCTGCAAATTGGATGTATGCCAAGAACCATTTGAGGGAGATCCCAGTGAACTTCTTCATGAAAGTGAGCCTCATGGTTGATAGGAATCGAGGCTGTTTGCACCAGTTCCAGTTGCCTTATTTTGAGTTACTGTAATTGTCATGCGTGACACAAATGCGCTGCTAACAGCTTCTCTGAGGTCCCGAACGATTCACAGTTTTCATAGGAGGTGTAGCGTTGTAAGACATTTGTACTCATCCTGCACCCAGGCAGGAAGAGGAAACTGCCTCAATGAATCCTATCCTGCAGCCACTTTGGGAAGTCCTTTCATGGAACCTCCACACTACCACCCTCAGTCAGGTTCCAACCATGTCGTTGTTAAGACATTTCTCAGTCCACATCACCTTGGAAAGCTCCTTACCACCCAACCTCCACTGGAACGACGTTCCCAAATGTTCCGCTTCACCAGCCCGCCCAGTGGTCTGGAACGATCTCCCAAAAAAGCCGGAGCTCATCGTCCATGCGCTCTCAGAGCGCGTGGGAGGACACGACACCCCTGGCCCTCCGGGGTCCCCACCTGGGAGACCGCTCACCCGGAGACCCAGGCTTCCTGATCCTGCCGGGTGAGCGGCTGGAGGATCGGGAGCTGCCGCAGCGGATCACCAGCGAGGTGCGAGATGTGAGGTTGGGATGTTGGGCAGAAAGGCTCAGATGGTAAAGGGGGTCCGGCCTGCAGGAGGTTGAGGATGAACAGGTCTGAGGAGGTCTGGTCTTGTCACTGAATATTTAAGCTCTCCCATGTCTTCCTCTCTTTATGAGAGACCGGCAGAAGGTACTTGCCAGAAAACGGCTGAACATCCGATTTGTGATTGTATTACAGTGCATGTATGTATCTGTATAATATGCAGGGGTTCAGGTGCTCTTCTGCGACGTTCGCGAAGGCATCAGTGTTTGGGTGTGTATTCTGGTAGGACCAGCTTTCCTCAGCATTCGCCAGTCGTGCTGAGGCTGTAGACTCTGGAGCGCACCCCGGTGCGCTCCCAGTGCCCAATCTGCGGGGCTGCTGTGGAGAGCCTACTGAGTTTGCTGCTCAGAGTAAAGGCTACTAGTAGCGTCCTTGCTCCTAGTAGCGATGCCCTTTGTTACTAGTAGCGATGCCCTTGTTACCAGTAATTAGAGACAATTTGCCTTCTAACTCTGAATGCCATGTGGCTGGCTCAAGGATTCATAGACCTTTTGAACCTGGTTTCGTGGGGGAGTGCGACCAACTGGTTTGGTTTAGGGTGCCCCGCTCATTGCGGATCCTCTCCTGCCTACTTGGCCGCCATCTTCACCTCTGGATTTTGCTTGGGCGCCTTGGCTTGCATCTCCTTCGGGATTTGGCTGCACTTGCACCTGAGCTCAGTTCCTTCGGTTTCCCCACTCTCCTCTCAGGGAGGTCCAGGTCAGCATCCCTCTTCACGCCTCTCGGCGTATCTATATGAGCGCCGGGGCCAGCTTACTCATCTTGATTGAGGTCACCCGTGCCACGGCACGTGCTCTGAGGGGCCTTCGAGTCCCTTGAGGCTGCTGCAAGCCGTGCTGAGGGCATCTCTGCTGGATCCTACACTGGGCCGCCGGCCGTGCTGACTGAGCCTTCCGAGGCTTCTACTTGGGACGCGGTCCCTCCGCTGCCAGCTACTCCTGAAAGGAGAACGAAACTTCTTGGGCACAAGGATCCCCGCTATCCAATTCCTCTGCCTACGACGACGTGGCCAGGAGCATTCCTGATCTTCCCGAACTTGCATTGAGCTTTGCGATCGCCTTTCAGGTGCTCCATCCTCCGTCCGTGCAAGAGCCCTACGTGCTTGGAACGCTGGCTGTTGGGCTGGGGCAGTTCTCGAAGGCCGGAGCCGAAAGCCTCGACCTACTCCACATCTCGGGCTACAGAACCAGGTCTACATCATCGAGCTCCCTACTGTGGTTACGTCAGCAGGTGATTACCAGCGATTGTGCCCCTTCGACAACTACTCGGTCAGCCACACCTTCCCCTCAATCTCCGAGGCCAAGGTCTAGTGCCGGGGAGCTGGAGTTGTGTTTCCTGAGTCAGGAGGATGGCAGTTCCACAGCACACCCAGTTTTTAGACCAAGGGTCCAGCACGAGAAGTGGACGATGGAGACATTTGTGATGCCCATCATGGCGCGGAATTCAGGCTGTCTCTTGGCTATCCCCGACGGGGTTTTTCCAAAAGAGATGTTTACTACAGGCAATTTGGCTCGGCCGGAGGACTTTGTCGGTCCTTCGACCAGGGTCTCAGTTCCTATGAGCTACGAGGAGGACGACGGCACGGAAGTATCAGCACAGATGGAGGAGAACATCCTGCTCACCGACTTCCACAAGAATGTGACGGACTCCATCCGAGGCTTCGACCCTGTCACAGAGGGGCCAGGGATCCGGCGTTTCTCGCTCGATCATCCGGACCTTTTCTCAGAGTCTCAAGGCCTACATGCTGCCTACGGTTGGTTGGAAGAGCAAAAAGAGTGTTCTACTCTGCGGCTGCGATGCCGACTACCTCTCCTCCCAAGGTGCCTGCAGTGAAGGGCAAGGCGAAGGCTTCCCCTGGTGGGGCTTCGGGTCAGAAGAGACGGCGGGGCAACTATCAAAGATCTCAGAGGCTCTCCCTGTTTGTTATCTCCTCCCGGTTGCGGTTGGGCCCGATGGCTGCAGACAAAGCAAAGTGGAAGCTCTGGTGACTTCCCCTCAGCAACCTGTGCCTCCCTACCGTCAACCTTTCCAGACTCCAGACAGAGGGCCTACGCCAAGAGTCAGAGCCCTTCCAAATGCTCAGCTACCAACTGGACAACTACAACCACCGACTCTGCCAGAGGACGAGCAAGCGGCCCTTCCCTCAGATCCAGAGTACGTTCATCCGAACAAGCCGGAGGTCCCCCGCATGGACAGCGAGGAAGGGGTTGCCTCAGCTATTTTTCAACAGTCTCAGGCACTGTCTACGTTGGTTGCTCACCTCGTGGCTATGGGGGTTCCTCCTCCTCCCTCTCGCTGAAAGGCTCGGCCAAGAGAGAGAAGCTTTTGATGGATTTCTCCAACCGGAAAGGCGACTTCCTCCTCAAGGTGGCAAAGAATGCATTCAGGCGACTGGAGCCATCAGAGACTCCTCCTACTACCATCGATGGTTTTGGTGGCAGAGCCCTTTTCTCAAGAACATATGTTGAGAGGAACGGTGGTTTTGCTGGCCAGAGAGACCTTGGCCTGATGATGTGGCTGCTTTGCCAGATCTGCGACATGATGATCAGAAAGGAGCTCAAGAGGTTGGCGCTGGCCTTGGTCACCATCGAGCAGGTTGCCCAGGATGGCGGGAAGTGGGAAGTCGGTTGGATTCTCTCACTACAAGAAGACCCTCCTCCGGGCATGTTCACATCTCGACCTTCATCGACCAATCCTCGGCTGAGGGCTTTCTCTCCTCTCTGTCCTCCAGTGTGGGAGGCTTGGGTCTTTGGCCAAAAGGCTCCATCCTCATCCGGCAAGCTTCGTCGTGCTGCTCCTCCTCAGCCCCCAAAGGTTCGGTTTTGGTTTCTTGTTTTGATCGGGTCGCACTCCCCTCGAGGTACGCGGTAGTCGCGCCAAGGCATGGAGCAAAGCTGGAGCCCCGAGACGGGGCGGACTTGAAAAGAGCTGCAAACTGAGGCGACTTGGAGCTGCCTATTGGCCGCCCGGTGCTCGAAGTCACGCGAGGCAAAGGGACAAGCTGCTGGACAGTTTCACGCAGTGGGTGGGATCCAGAGGGGTCTCAGCGCATGAAGTCCTTATGGCCACCACCCCTCATGCTAGAGCAGTGTGGCCGTGAGCTATACAGGGCACTACGCAGAGACGGTGAACGCCGTCCAGAGCAGAAGATGTCGGCTGAGGAGGTGCTTGCAGCCGGCGTGGGACCTGGCCTACGCCTGGCTCTGACAGGAGCCCCCAAGCCATCACTTGGCTTCCACGCCAAGCGCTCCTGTCTCTCCTCACGTCGGCATGGATGTGGGGATGGAGCAGGGAAGCCCTTTCCTGGGGCGGGGTGATCCGCATTGGAGAAGCGCTGAGTGCATGTCGGCGGGACTTGGTCTGCTTGGCACGTCTTCTAACTTTATTCGCCATGTTTAGAGAGAATCTGCCAAGTTTGTCCGTCCATTTGTATTGCCAGCCTATTTTTGATTGATGTCCTACTATAGTAGGTTTCATTTGTTGCTTTCTCAGCTTCCTTCTTCCTGATGTTCCACAGCTGCACAAGTGGGTCTGCCAGTTCAGTATGTTTTGTTCTCTAGACTCTTGACTCAGAGCATTCAAGTTTGGGAGCACCAGTGAAGGTTGATAGCGCTTAGCTGCACTTGTTTAGTTTGGAAACGTTAGGTTATGCGGTTAGGCTCCTTGCTCGGCATTTTGCCATGTCTACTCTTTGCCAAACGATGCATCGATCCGGCTCTCTGGGGGCGTCGATGCCCTCCGAACGACCGAACG